CCATGTGGTCACCTACGGGGCGGGCGGGAATCGAACTCATGCGGAAGCGGCTTTAGCTTCTCAGTGCAGTGCTTTAACCCGCTGCGCCACCAGGGAGGGCCTCACATTAATTTTTTAACAAAAATCTGTTTTGAGTTATATCACACTATTTCATTCACAATTACTACCCTAAATATTTTCAAGTGCTATATAATGTTAAGAAACTTTTTCTAAATACATCTCTCCCATTTATAAATCTAGCTTATATTTTGGGTTTTCTGACTTGCAACATATGGGATCAAAATAATTTTTTGTTTTTTTATCCCTTGGAGACTCATAAGGCTTTCTTGAATTTAGAAGCAACCTGGAAAGCAATACACAAAGATTGACTTCTCATGACACTACTTTCTATAACAAAGGTCAAACAAACAAAAAGGCCCAGAGTGCTCACATAATGATTCACACCATCTCCCATTTGACCCTCATGGAGAGAACAGAGAGGGATACACTCACCACTTTCTCTCTGGATCTCAGGACTCCCAGCTTCCCGAATCTTACATGGAAAGGTGAACACTGATAGGTGCCATCCTGCTGTCGCACAACAATGACATCAATGCACCCAGACAAAGTGGCTGTATTAATGCCCTTGTAGAGTTCCTTCACGGTGACAATCACCTGTCCAGCCAGCTGTCCCACATAATTCATGGTTTGAGACTATAAAAGGAGGAAAAAAGATGTTAACACAAAATTCATGGTTCTAATGGTAATGACAAAGGCAGTAATGACTTGCATTACATTACAACTCTCATTTATACACCATGTTATATACATTCTTCATTAAACTTGTTGATCTTTAACTGATTTGTTTCAGGCTTCCAACGTATTTATGCATTTCCAGCTAGGCGCAATCCCGGAGTGTCCTTTTTTGTATGTGAGAAGCTGTCATCTGCCAATACTGAAACTTCTGCCATGCAGAAGTTTCCTTTCCTTTCCCATCATCACAGATAATGCAGCTGTGTTAGGGGATTTCTCTCCCAAAGTTCGGAAGTTGCACAAAACCAACATATTACACCAAGACCACCACCAGAAGCCTCCTAAGACAGTTGGGAACCAGGGACTATTCCATCATCCAGTCTGGCCTCAGCAGTCAAGCAGACAAAAAACAACCAAAGATTACCCTTCCCTCTAGGAAAAACTTGAAATTGCAAATGTTTCTATTGGAAGATAAGTAAAAGAATTGGATTTTATATGATATTATTAGAATACTATATAGTTCATATACATGCTAGATTAAATAAACAGGTAAGATAGACCAGGTTTAATCTACTTATGACATTAGTCCTTCACACACAACTCACTAGAGTATTTATAAATTTTCCAAGGAGTTCAAGGCAGTTCACTTTCTTTTTTAAAGCCTTTCATTTGAGATACGAAGGAAGAAAACAGGTACACAGTGAGAAGACCTGGGTCATATTTTAAAGATAAGACAACTGAACCAGAAAGGTTTAATACCTATCAGCTAAGGTTGAAGCTAAATAATAGCATGACAAGCTGCATGGTTGAAAAGCAAGGCAATTAGTATTCCTTTCTTCCCAAGCTTCTCCAACAGAATCGACACTCATAATCTTCAATGGCAGCCATGTGCTCACAGGTCTCAGAACTCTTTCTCCATGCCAGTTAACAATGTTCACATACCAGTAAACAATGGCATGCTTGGCATATATCAAACTTGTGGTGCAGGTGAGTGCAGGCCTCAGCAATGGCTATGGTATTGCTCGGCACACAAATGCTCTATTTTGACCAGGTCTCCTCCGAGTACTGCAGTGGGAGGCTGGTAATTAATGCCAACTTTGAAACGAAGAGGGGCCTTGATGGTTATCTTTGCCACAGAAAGCTGTTCATGGTAGGCTTTCTGAGAAGAGCTGACAGGTGCACATGTGGCCTGAAGGAAATGGATGCAACCAGATTGGCCTGGAATGCTGTCAGATCAACATTCAGGGCTCCATCAATCTGAGTGAAGCAGTGATGGAGGACACAATCTGGTTAAAAGGCAGCTAAGATTAGTCTAGGTTGGGTGCTCAATATCAAGGCTTCTAGGACAGATGTCAGATAATCTCACTGTCTACCATGAAAGTGCAATCATAGTGCTCCAGGGTGGTGACAATGGAGTTGTATGGCACAACTACAGCTACAGAAATCTGGGAGCTGGGTAAATGGCCAACCCCAGCTTGGTGTTCTTGCCATAACTGATGAGACATATTCCATCAAGGAAGGTAAACTCAGAACCAGTTTTCCAACCCAGCTGTACAAAACCAAGACTCTCTGAAGACCTGTGCACTGGTCAGCCAATTTTTGAAGCTGGCCCAAGGCTGGATCAATGAATGATCTTGCCAAAGGTATAGTGCCCCCAGGCATCGTTTTTAAGTCTGTATGAGCTGCTAAGGGTAGAAAAACTGGCAGTAGGTGCCAGTGCAAACTTCAACAATGACTGGGGGTTCCAGATCTACCAACACTGCCCTGAGCACATGCCTGCCAGCTCCCATCTCACTGAAGGTGTTGAGGAGTCATCTCCTCCACCAACGGTCTTATTACTGGAAATCTGGCCAATGGTCTAGATACATGCTCCAGCAGTAAAGGTCCTAGCAGGCACTGCGAATCTGGACACCAGCCTGGATGAAGAATGTATTCATGCATGGTCAGTCACCAAGAGTTTTAGCAGGCCCAGGAGATGGAGTAGACACTGCATGGGTCCAATTACTGGACAAGCTGAATAAGGATGTTCAACCAGCAAAGTTTAAGTCAAGGTAAGTAATGCACTCACAAAAAAGGGTTTTAGTCTTGTTCCTCAACTACAATTCACAATTCAGATCTGGATCACCAGGGATCTGTAAAGCACCCTCTAGAAAAGGCTCAGAAGAGGTGAGTGCACCTAGTCAAGGCTATAGAGTTCCAGTTTCTGTGCCCCATATGCACTGTTGTGTAGCCAGCAAGGGCCGTATCTGACCACAGGATGGTCACATGATATGCTCTGGGTACACCTTGGCCCCTCTCAACTCTTCCACTAGTTAAGAAGATAGCCTCCTTCTAGTCCCAAGATTGTCAAATTTCATTTCCAGTCACTGAATACCACCACCTTCCATTCATTAGACACTGACACCCCTTTGTAGTACAGCAAAGCACAATTCAGTAAAAGTCATTCTCCTGTGGAGGAAGGAAGTACAGACCGAGAGACCATTCCCACTGCTAGGGGCCAACCTTAGTGAGCTAGAAAATCAAAACTGAGTTCCACTTTTATTTACTACAAGCCCCGTTGTGTAAGCCTAGCTTTTGAGCCACCTTGAGGTCAGTAAGTTCCCAGAGAGCACATTGCATCATAAGTCCAAAAGTAGGACTTGTGAGCAAGAACACCTTGAAAACAGTTATGAACCTGCAGAGAAACTTTCCTCTCTCTATTCATAGGTGATCCAATACAGGCCAGAAGTGTCTATTCACAGGTGATCCTAGATTTGTCTAGATTTCACAGAAGCCTTTTTTGCCTTTACACACAAATGAATGTGTAATCAGAGCCCATCAGTTGTAGAGCCCACAGCATACCACAATTATTTCACTCTGGAAAATTTAAATATTTAAAAGCTATTATTATCAATGCCCAAAAATGTACCTATAGAAGAGCTGACTTGGAACAATGTAAACAAGTTAGTTACAAAATTTGCTACTAACAAAATTAAGTGGTTTTTTTTTTTTTAAAGATTTATTTATTTGTGCATACAGAACTGGGGTACAGGCCAGAGGCTCAAGGCGGTGAGAGGCTTCACCAGAGACAGAGTGGGGAACAGAACAGGCAGATCGATGAAGTACACTGCTGAGGGGAGCAGCTGGCGGGTCAGAGCGGGCGGGTCAGGAGAGGTCTGCCACGCCATGTGGTCACCTCCGGGGCAGGTGGGAATCGAATTCATGCAGAAGCGGCTTTAGATTCTCAGCGCTGTGCTTTAACCCGCTGCGCCACCAGGGAGGGCCAATTAAGTGTTTTTTCTATGTACTAAATTATAAACCAATTGGGGATGATTTTGGTTTTAGAAAAATTGATTTGAACTTAATCTTTTTTTAAAAGATATATTTATGCATACAGAACTGGGGTACAGGCCAGAGATGGAGGGGAGGTGAGAGGCTTTACTAGACACAGAGAGGGGAGCAGACAGGCAGATCGTGGAAGTACACTGCTGAGGGGAGCAGTAGGTGGGCCAGGAGAGGTCTCCCGCACCGTATGGATCACCTCCAGGGCAGGCAGGAATCAAACTCATGGGAAAGTGGCTTTATATTCTTAGTGAAGTGCTTTAATCCACTGTGCCACCCTGAACTTAACCTTAAGGCCAAATAAAGTACATATTAAGTGTTCAATAATTTCTTAAATAAAGGAACGATCAAATGAATCAGTAAATAAAGGGAAAAAATGTACAAAGTGTTTCATCAGAATACTATTTTCAAAAAATCATTTTTATTTTGAGGTAATGCTAATTTACATGCATTAGTATGTAATGCATACTAATATCCAGTTTCCTCCAATAGTATCTTCCAGAACTCTAGTGCAATATCACAATCACAATGCTGAGTTGGCTAAGATTCAGAGCCTCTACATTATCACAAAGATCTGTCGTGACTTTTTATAACTACATACACCTATTTACCTCCCTTTCTTAATTCCTCGTAGTCACTAATCTATTCCTCATTACTGTCATTTTAAGCAAAGTTAGTGAAACAGAATGAAGGGGGAAAAAGGAAGACACAGATGTTCTCAGACACAGAAATGCAATTATACAGGTTAAAACCTTTACCAGTTGTCTTTTTGCACCCGTATTTCTAGAGGCAATTCACTCAGGTTGTTGTTACATGTACCAACAACTGGTTCCTTTGTGTTGCTGCTGTGTACCAAGGCAGTGGATATACCACAATTTGTTTAATGTGCTCAGTAACACATGAGTTATTGTAATTTTATTTTCTATAGTAAAGAAAGCAGCTATAAACATTCACATATAGATTTTTATGTGAAAACAAGTTTTCATTTGGCTGACTAAGGTGTGGCTGACTATTTGGCTGGCAGAAGGTGTGTTTTGAGTTTTTCAAATGGTACAGAGTCACTGTACCATTTTTCCATTCCTATCAGTAATGTCTGAAAGACACAAATTTTCTGTGACTTTGCTGGCATTTGCTATTGTGACTATTTTTTATTTTAATTAGAACCACAAGTATGTTGTGATTATGGTTTTAATTTTAGATTTTCTTAATGGTTATGCTGAACATCATTTCATGTGCTGATAAGCCCTCTGAATATTCACTAAATTCTGTTTCATAAAAAAAAAAAAGCACTGTGACTAATTTAGTAAAAAAGAATAAACATCTTTTTGTTCCTTATTTCTGGGGTTAAAATGGTTTATGATTTCAATGTACTTAGAAATGTCTCCAAAAACAAAGTAAAATAAAATTCAGCCATCTATAATTCTTTTTACTCTTGTAAAAAAGCATTTTTCTAAAACCGAAAGCAGTCCACCAGAACTTTCATAATTTGCAAATAATGCATATATACAATATACTGTCATTAATGTTATGACATTATAGTAATGCCTGATTGATGGTGGCAATTCAAAATAAGTTTGTTACAGAAATTTAAAAAATTCTAATGATTATATATAAACTAAATAATCACCTAAATAATCCTT